GCGGGGGGGGGGGCACTCAATGGTTTCTTGCACCGGGGCCCTGGGGTTTCTAGTTACGCCTCTGCTGTGAGATTCATCAATAGCACAGTTAAATACCAACTGAGCTGGAGTATACTAAGGGGTTTCTGAATCAGAAATAACAAAAGGGGGCCCAGATACCCTAAGAGCTGAGGGGGCCCAGATACCCTAAGAGCCAACAAAGTCAGAACTAGGTTCTGCCAAAGATGTAGCGGGGGTGTGGGCTGAGGGCCTGCTAGCAGAACATGCCATAAATGTACACAACGAAAAAATTAGAAGTATAAATATTAGACCTTGGAGACCCAGCATGGGTGTCAGAATCAGGTAGGCTGTAGAAGCTTGAGAAAAGGACCAACTTATAGTAATAGGGATCCCAGGATCTAAAATACTAGAATTAGTCTTCTGTGGAGGCACCAGAAAAACATTCTGGTCATAGCAGTGGGATTAAGGGCAACTAATCAAAAGAAAATAAGGCCCATCGTACTTACAACCAAGGGGCAGGTGAGGATCACAGGCTATAGACCAGAAGTCCAACAATGCTGTGCCAGCAGGTGAGCAGTCAGAGATTTCCTAAAGCCAGAAACAGGGGAAGAAATGTGGAGTGAGCGTGTGTGACACTGCCCCTAGTGGATGATGTCAGCACATAGTTATCTCAGAATGTACCGTTACCTTAGAAGTAAAGTGGGGTGAAAATGTTTAAATAACTGTAGCATCCAATGTAAAATGAGAGGTAGCTTTACCGCTGCAGCCTGTCTGGCTATGCAGAAAAAGCATATTGAGGTACAGGATCAGCTAAAAATGTCAGCCTAAAGACTGGGATAACCTACAGCTGTTCATTAATTACATGAATATTTAAAAATCGACTTGAGGCAGTTAGAAGGGGAGGTTTATAACCAAATATATAAACCTCTAAATTCAACTCAACAGATTGAGAATGTAGGGACTAGGTTAGACTGTGCCATCATGCAAAACATGGGAACAGCAGTTAATAGACACAGTCCATAGGGGGCTAAAATTGCGTCCCTGCAGATAGAAGAATACAAATATACCTCAAACAATAAAAAAAGTTCCATATGGAGCTCAGTTAAAAGTGAGGTATAGTGACTGATCGATTAAGGGTAATCCACAGCTTAGAATATGGAGCAGCTGTAATAATTGTAAGCCATACCCCAGAGTGGGGGACTACTTTATACAGTTCAGAGCCCGTTGGGGTCAAAACCTAATGTCTGTATCATAACCATATGTTGGTTACAGAATGAAATAGCAGAGGCAGGAACATAGAAGAGGCTGTGTTGCAGCTCTGATTTCCGAGAGTATTTGTGAGTGGTTTACCAAGTTGTACCACAAATTTGCATTCAGAGCCAGAGTTGCACCAGCTTATGTACCACTATGCTGAAACTTGTGAACGCTTAAATGCCAACAGCAGGTGAGCTTTCCATAGTCAAAGGCAAACTTACAGAGGGAAAAGTTAGAGAAGAGGTTACAGTTGAGGTAGTACTGCTGCTCTAAAATTGCAGTGCTCTGTGGCTAAATGGCCCAATACACAAGCCTGGAAAGAGCCACAATACAGAGCCTAGTGTCAAAGGGGTACTATTGCGATGTCTTTGTGCAATACTCTTTGCTGTGACTTCGGCATTAAGGACTCACCAACTATCACATGCGGTTTGAATAAATGGAATAGATCACTGTCCCTGAATCCAAGATAGATGTGCGCAGAGACAGTCATCTATTCCAAACTGCATGTAATCATATCACATACTATTACAGGCGGACTGTAGCTTACAAATGTGGTGACTGTTTCCCAATCATTAACGTGAACAGGACACCTGGCACTCCTGCTGCTGGAATCCATGTGTTTCTGCTGAAGGAATTCCAGGAGGCTCTGTGTTAACAAGGCCAATACTTAAACACGTAAAACATTTTCATTTGTTTCATCAAAGGAAACACATTTTTATGCTGTTTCGGATTTGGAGGCCACGAACCTCCGAATCCGAAACCGCACACTGAAACTGCAAAACAAGCAGCGGGCCAGCCACTAGCGCGTTCTGCGCATGCATGCTGCCACCTTGGAGTGTATCTTGGTGTATACAAAGATAAACTCCAAGATGGTGGTACGCATGGTTAGAATGCGCCGGTGCGATATGGCCACCACTCGTTCAGCGTGTAACGTTACCGCCATGTGACATCATGCACTCCGCCTCCAAGATGGCGGCAGGCATGCGCAGAACACACCAGCGGCCAATTTGGATGGCTGAATAGAGTTTTTGTATATTTGGGCATTTAGGAAATTCGTTATTATCGATTATCGATAATACCCTTCATGCCAAACTGAGTTCCCACTGTCCCCCAGTTCTCCCCACTGTACCCCAGCATACAGGTCATATGTGGGTACCTGCAGAACACGCTCCCACGCTGTCTCTGCCTCCTTTTCCTCAATGCCTGCTGGCTCGGACATCAGGCCGAACTCAGGCAGAGGAGATCACTACGCCACACTACGCTGTGACAGAGAACTAGAAGCGCAGCAGTTCTGTACGGCTGAGCATGGCTGTCGAACTTAAGGACACCTGTATTTCAACCTTCCCTCCAGTTCCGACCAGGCCCCCTCTGCCCTGGGCCCCATAGCGACTGTGTGGGGTGCTATGGTGGTAGTTCTGTCACTGATGGTACCTCAGGAAAAAGGCAAGAAGGTTTTTATTAATTTTTATTATTTAAGCCTGATGACAGAGGTCAAGAGGTAAATCCTGCAGTTCCTGTATAATAACTGTATGGAACATTGTCATCCAGAAAGAGGATCCACTACACCAGGCTTTGATAGGAGGCTGTAGTGTACCAATCAGTACCTAAGCAATATCAAGCAAATAAAAGTCACATATGAAAATATGTTCACCATAAACAGACATCTAGTTATATAGTTAGTGTTCAGCGATTAGGACACACAGGAACGACTCTTAGTCGGCAGCTGAACTTTGCTACTAACAGGCACAGTACAAAGACTGGTGTATGTCATGGCAGATATAAATGTCGAAGGAGAAATAATACATTTCCATTGCACCATGTAGGTGTTAACAGAGGTTGGGTACTTCAAAATAGGAGCAATCTAGTGCTCCAATAGACTCAGAACACAAAGGTCTGGAAAACAGCACAATGTATAGCGCAAGTCCCAAAGGTAACATACAAGGATGCCTTTGTTATTTCTCAAGGAAAATTATTATTATTATTTTTTTTATTATAATTAACAGAGACTAGGTTAATTGGAGGCAGTACCTCCTATTATACTTAGAACACATAGGTCTGGAAAGTAGACCAATGTGAAGTGCAGCATCTGAAAGTAACTTATAAGTATGCCATCATTATTTCCAAATATTTCACAGGAAAATATTAGAGGCAGGGTTATCCAGAAGGCTGAACTGCTGCTCCAAAAGATGGATAGCGTTTTGCTGATCAAAGCAAACATGTCCGGAAAGCGGCAAAATACAGAGCATATAGTGCAGCTATAACATACTAAAATTTCTGTCTCCGAGAGAGACACAAGACACTGGGTAAACATTAAAGGCTATACCACTGCCCTAAACTGAAAATGCTCTGTTGTAAAGCAGCATACCTTCGCCCTGTACATGGGCTTACTAACAGTGTGAGTCTTCAGAGACTGGTACACACCAAAGACTCTGACATGGCTGTGGACCTAAAAAAACACCCAGCAGCTAACAAACCAGTACACTAGGTGTGTAGGGGGCACTACAAGCAGAGCCCAGTGCCTGAGGATCAAATTCCAGAAAGCCCCCACAATCTCTGGTCCAGCAGGGTTTGGTGCGGCCAGGGCAGCTGATCCATTGTGTATAGACCAGCTCAAACAGCTTAATAATGTCTTGATTGGAGAGAAAAACATCTACTGGGTAACAAGAATGTAAGAGAAAAAAATAATAAAAATAATACAGTTTTTCTCAGTAGAGCTGAAGAGAAAGCATCCAACCTCCTAGAACACTAGCAAAAAACCAGACATGACGGTTGGATGTGGTGTTATACAGTGGGCTGGCTTAATGGTTCTTTTTTTGGTGTCAATGTCAAGACCTCCTAAACATAGCTGTGGAAATTTATTTATGATCTCCAGTGTACCTGTGTCCATAAATGTACAATAAAGAAATGAGTACTGCAAAAATTTGGTATGAGGGAGAACTGTATACAAACCCCTGCCTCCTCATAATGAAGTGTTCAGCCCAAAGCAGTCAGTCACCAAGCCTCAGTACTGTTAATTAGGGGTGTTGGGAATACCATAGAAGGTTGCATTACTGAAAATATTAGATATTGTTGGTAATTGCAGGTGACATGCTGAGGTGGTGGCAGGTTTTGGAGCAGCTAGGCCAGGGTTGGGGGGCGGGAGTTTTTTTTAATCTTTACAGTTTTTACAACAGGTTTGCTTTCATTTTGTTAATGTCCTAGACAAAAATGACTGACAAAGTCTGCATGATTGCCGGGATCAATTACTCCACTTTCCCTTGGACTGATTGTTCCTGTGATTCTTACTCTATGGACAGTCAACGCTGTTGGAAAGATCTTAACTGAAACAGTTACGAAGCTGAAATCCTTTGTGGTGACACAAGCCCGAAAGATTGCCCCAGAAGATGTTCTCAGCAGAGCTTGAATTGATCTAAAGTTCTTTGAGTCATTATACACTCTATTGTTCTCCTTTTTAATGTTACCTTTGGTCCTGTCTTCTCCATGTAGCCTTCTTTTAAGAAGTTTTGAGGCAAACGTCTTAAGACCTAGAAAAAAAAGTCTATGTAACTGAATAACTAGGGTAGAATTATTGTAAACGATCTTGTGTAATCTAGTAAACAATGTCTGAAGCATTGCTAACAAAAATAACACTTTCTACTGGAATATTACCTTAAAACTCAACTGTAGGCAGAAGGGGCACCACACCAGAACTGGTGGCTATCATAGACCATGTTCTGATGAAGCAGGGTCTGGAAGGAAGTGTGGCTCCCACTGTACATATCAGGAGCTCTTAGCAGGGCTTACAAAAAACTTCTCCTCCAGTTGGCTTGTTTGAACAATTGTAGTGCGCTATTGTTTGTTACATTTCTTACAAAACATAGCACATTAAATAGAAAATACACACTAAAGCCACAACTCAGATTAACAAAGTATCTCTGATCAGAACGTTAGTAAAGAACAGTAATATAAATCCACATTTGATCAGTATTAGTAAGCAGAAAATCATCCCAACTTAGTCATCAGCAAACTGACCAATATCTAATACCCAGAAACTAGGCACTAAGCCATTACACAGTAGCAAAACAATTATGTGCTGCCTAATATTTAATTGCCTCCAGGCAAAAATCTAAATGCATTTAGGGCTGGTACACACCACAAACTCTGCGTTCCAGTGCGTTTGGCCTCTGGAACCCACTGTAATGAAAGATAGCCGGCTCCCTGTGTTCAGGGGCGGGAGGGGGCGTGGCGGAGCATTGAAGTCAATGGAACCGCAGCCACGCCCCCGCAGTGCGATTGACCGCACCCGAAACGCAGGCACATAACTGCCTGCGTTCTGGTCCAGTGCATTCTGCAAAAATACTGCAAGCGCTATTTTTGCTTAATGCACTTGAACGCAACTCAAGCACTAATCTGCCTGCGTTCGGGTGGGGGTGACCGTACTGTGGGCGGGGGGCATGGCAGTGGTGCCATTGGCTTCAATGCACCGCCACGCCCCCTCCCGCCCCTGAACACAGGGAGCCAGCCGGCTTGCGTTCCAGAAACCAAACGCACTGGAACGTAGACTTTATGGTGTGAACCGGCCATAAAAAAAATGTAATACATAAATAATATACATGTAAGGAAACGGTTTAGCTGCCAAAGGAATTTACCAATTTAGTACTGAGTCTATTCACACCTGGGTGCATTGCAGTAACGATTGCACAGGGGAATTTGGAAGTGTTAACAAATTATTTGTATTCTAGCTGACTTTATCTTAATGTTTGGTAATTGTGTTTCTACCTTTATCTGCAATTTTTTTTTCAAGTGAAATATCAGAAGAAGAAAGGTATTCAAATTATCTCTAATTGTACTGCCCCCAACCACATGTACATCAGGTCTATTAAATAGTCACGTGTCCCTGAAAACCATTGGTTGGTTAATTTTTTCTCCCTATAGCAAGTAGAGCTAACCTTCTGGTCAACCGGTTGCACCCATGCATTGTTCTTGTCAAGAAGACGTGAGATTGTTACCACAGTTAAAAACTGAGAGATCAAGAAACTGTCACCTCATAGAGCTTACCTGTCAGAGACCATCTGTTATTGCGCAAGTGCTGGGTCCCGTTTTTCATGCCATTGGAAAACAGGCACTTGCGCAAATGTGCGCCCGCCACGGAACGGCTGGGAAAAGCGCGCCAAATGGCGCACAGGAAGTGACGCGGTGCTCTAATGGATCACACTATTTAAACCAAGCCTGCCTGTCTCCAAATTGCTGGATTGTCTTTCAGCTCCCTAGTGTTCCTGTGTTCTTCTGCCTTGTATTGTCTGACTTCTGACCCAGATTGATCGTGACCATTCTTGATTGCTGCCTGCCCTTGACCTTGGATCGTTTACTGGACTTTGCCTCTGCCTCATTCCTTTTGTACTTTGCCTGCCCGATTGGTGTGACCATGGCTCATTTGACTCTGATTATGGATCCTTCTCTGCTTTTCACACAGCACCTGGACTCCAGCTTCCACAGTGTAATCACCACTGGCACCTGTGACACTCGCTGTCTGCTTGGACTCTGTCCCCAACTCCAGAGTCTTCGGGACACGAGGTGCAAGGGAGGCCTCCTCACGCATTCAGTCTCCAACCAGGTACGTGACATTACCATGCCTTTGATGTCATGGCCAAGATCCTATCAGATAAGAGGACCCTCTCACAAAAAAAGCTGCAGATGGCTCCCGAAGAGTGAGGGGGGAGCCAATCTCCCGAATAGTAAGCTTATAATTATGCCTCCCTGTTGAGACATGCGATTGATTGGCTGACTGATGCATCTACCTTTTCTAATACCTCTGTAGAGGCTGAGTTTATTGCTCCATGGAATATCAAAGCTATTCTCCACTGCAGGATCTCCAAACTTCCCCTGGGTATTCGACAAAATCTGTTGTATAGGGACCCAATTATAGCTTGGAGGTGAGTGCGGAGGGGTCTCTCCATATCTCTCCAATCATAGTTCTTTACTACAAAATCCAATGTTCCCTCAGGGAATAGATTATGCCACGTTTTGGTTCTGGCGTTCTATAGGTTTGAGACTGTGGAAGCAACTATTTTGTCCCCATACATTTCAACCATATGCGTTTCAGGCTATAATTCATCGTTATCACATTCCCTCCCATCATTTTTTACATTCTATGCAGATCACCAAAATGTGGCAGTCTATCTCTAGGGATCCTACTACTTTCTTTTCTTCATCTTTTTTGGACAGTCTAATTCCATCCAAATCCTATTTGATCTCTACTATTTATCTCAAACACCATATGCTGTTCCCCCCCACCCCCCTTTGACCAATTCTAATGTTAACGGTTGGGCTAAGGAGCTTGGTGACCCGGACTTGGTCGATAAGCTGGGATATACTAAAGTGCATAGTGTGATTACCAAAGAAATATGGAGGAAGACCCAGTTTAAATGACTGCATCAGGCATATGTTCCCTATTTTGTGCCCACTGGCGATTCACCTCATAAATCGAAAATGTCTACTTGCCCTAAATGTGGCCACTCTCGCCCTACTTTGCAACATTGCATATGGACTTGCCCGCTAATTCACCGTTTTTTAAAACAATTGCTGTCTTATGTTACTGACATTCTTTCCTGGTTGCCTCCGCTGGACCATGGACTCTGTCTGTTTAGTCATTTTTCTCCATCACTGGATGGAACTAGTCGATTATCTTATAAAGGAATAGACTGGCTACACATTTGTCTTCTCACAGAACGCAGATGCATTACGTGCAAATGGAATAACATCTCCCCTCCGACGGTCCAGGAGATTGTCAAAGATCTTAACCTATTGTTGCATAAGAAAAAGTTAGATGCAGAGTTTAAGAAGGATGTTAAGACTAAGACCTTTTTCCGTAGATGGAGGCATTTTATGGTCAAATCCTTTACTACTACTGAAATTACACAGCTCGTTAAACCTTTTTGCTACAGCGACTGGTATCTCAAAGCTAAGTTGTCAAATACCTTGGGGATATTAGCTATTGACTTGGATTAGATTTGATATTTTTCTGTCTTTTCCTCCCTTTTACTGTAAGAAGAAAACCATCAAGCGCCTGTAAGGGAGTGCAAACTGATATTGTTTTTGATCTGCTAAAGAAATTTTGTCGAAAGCAGTTTTGTATTATGTTTGTACATTTTTAATATATATCTACTATTTTTCATTGTCAGTGATTTCTACTCTGTTCTCTGTTGAAAACTTAATAAAACTTTGTTAAAAAAAAAACCTTTGGTCTGACCTTCCATACTTCCCATCCTTATTTTCCTCACTTACCTCTTGGTCAGCAGCTATAGGAAATGCTACTTTCATGTAATGAAACTGTACAGCTCGGATGGCATTAAACCAGCTAACAATTTCCTGCAAAAGCAATTATATATTTTAGTTCTCATAATTCCAGTTGATATAGTGGGTTCATTTAAAGATAATGTATAGTTTTGATGGATACAAACTTTTTAACATTTGTTAGTGATTTAAAAATCTTGTTGTTATGTATAGTTTGTATTTATTTAAGGGCAGTCTTATTTGCTCATTACATATGCAGGCTCTGCTTCCTGCTGTGCAGAGCTATGAAGCACTTGTGCTTTACTTCTCCTTTAGAATGCAAGTCAACGTGTTGGCTGACCCATTGAAGACAATGCACACCTTGTGTGGCTCATATCTAATCTGTAAAGTTGTTAAGTAGTTAGGCAGAGGTGGTAGATATATTACACAATCTCTATTGCAAATCTTCATATTTAGCTAAAATAAAGTATGAAAGCGCAAATGTGTAAACTGTGAAGCAGAATTACACAGAGCTCAGCTGAAGGTACATTTTCTCACAGTAGCTGTAATGTTTCATAAATGACATAAGCAGTAGACATGTGCGATTTTGTTTAGTTACTAATAAAAATTCGGTCGAATTTCCGAATCCCAATGCATCCGAATGTGTCTGAATCCGAATTTTGGTTTCTGAATTTCGGATCCCGTCCGAATTTTGTTCAAAAACTAAACTGGATCGTACAGGTGACTTTTCTGGCCAATCAGATGTGTTTTTTGGGTTTAATGCATCCGAATGGGTCTGAACACGAATTTTCGTTACAGCAACATGGGAGCCATATACAGTATATATAATACTTAAGCTGAGGCTCCTAGACCCAAATGGCATTCGGGATCCGAATGCAATTCGGAAATTCGGATCCCGAATGCCATTCGGGTCTGGGAGCCTCAGCTTTAGTAATATCCCAGATACCAAGCAATTGAGCTGCAAGTTTGAAAATTACTTGCTAAACTATTGCTAGACTTGCCAAGCTTCACAATTTTGTTGCACAATTACAGCAAGTCTGCATGGCAAGTCTCCAAATCAACGTGCTTTGCAAAAGTGCTGTACCCATGTAGAGCTCTTGCTAAGACCTGCAGGACTCTTGCTGTAGACTTGCCAAGTAAATTTGCTACAAATTCAAAAAGTGTCAACTAGAACTTGTGCTGCAAGTGTTCTGCAAGTCTACAACTTGCCAGGAATGTGCGCAGCAAGTTAACAAGAATTACAATTTAACCCTGCCACAAGTTTGTGGCAAGTTATCCTTGCTATCTGGGATAGGCATATGGCTCCCAGACCCGAATGGCATTCGGCAACTCCCAAATGGCATTTGGGAACTCCCGAATGGCATTCGGAAATTCGAAACCTAAATGCCATTCGGGTCTGGAAAACATTTGGGCAATTCGGAAATTCAGATCCCGAATGCCATTCGGGTCTAGGAGATTTAGCTTTAGTATTAACATCTGTATATGGTTTTCAGTTTTACTTGCAAATAATATTCGTAAACTCCTCTGAAACTAACGTAAATTTGGATTTAGTCCGAATCCGAAACCCGAATCGAATTGAATTTCGGATCCGAATTCCGTAATAACGATTTATTCGAACCGAATCAAATTTTCCCCGCAGCTTACATGTCTAATAAGCAGACACCAAAATTATGTTGTAAAAATCACCAAAACGTGTAAGATTCCTGCTGAGACTCCATAGAGCAACAACTAGGCTTTGAAGGGCTAGGAAATAGGAACATGGAAAAACATTATTTTATTGACAATAATGGTTTATAAGGGACAGCTGGAAACACTAATCTGTAGTAGTTTCAAGCACACTGCCCTCATTCACATTGCTCATCATGCCTAGTCTAGCCTAGCCTTGGGTCTCTCTATTGATCACACACATTTAGTGAAATACCAGTCATTTACCTGTCCGTTATTGTGGTACACAAATATATTTCTGGTCCTGTTATCCTTAATGTATGTGATCTGTAAGCCGTGATTCTGTTTCATCTTTTCCGGCTGAAAAGTGGCATTAACACTGTCAATTTTAATTACAGCTTTTGGTTCCTTAGCCTAAAAATAAAGACAGATGAGAGTTAGAAGAATGTAGGTACCTTTAAGGCATTTTACACAATGTATCTATTAAAAGAAGGTGAGGCCCTCACCTTCTTTTAATCCTCTCCTGATCAGCCCATGTAAAAGGGGCCTAAACGTTAAAAATACCATTCAGTTGTGTTTCACTAATTATGCATCTGACAGTCTGCATTGTGGGAGTTGCCCCATCAAACCTCTTGAAGTCCTCTTGGGAAGCATGGAGGTGGCCATTGCTCATCTCTGCTTTTGAAATAGTTAATGCCCTGGCAATCAGGCAGATCTAAAGGCTTCAATACTTTCTGACTATGCAGACCAGGTATTCTGATGTCACTCTTACCTTCTGATCTGCATGTTTATTCTGGGGCAACGTCTCAAAGTGGTGAATCCAGAATTGTCAACTAGCATTCTCAGAAGGGGGTCAGCTTTGACCGCCTCCTTAGCGATTTCAATACAGGTTTCTTTTAACAGGTGCTTAGACTTATACAGTAACCAGGAATATAGATACTATTATGCAAATCCAGTTTTTAGTCCTGGTATAAAACTGAAGTTGGAGCTTTAGATAAGCAAACGGAAATCTAATATTTTAAGGGTGGAGTCACAATATAGTAGTGCGTTAATTGCACAACCAATTTGTGCGTTACAATACGTGTGGTGCATTGGGTTGCCATTCATTTGAATGGCACCCCAAGTGCACCTCCAGCCACAATGCACCTGACCACACGATACAGCACTATTGTGCGGTGCACCAAAAAAAAAAAAGCACTGTATGTATACACTATGGTGTGAATCCACCTTAGGTTTTGCAGCCTCTGGGTCAAGCTACAAACAAAGCCAAGCACTATGACAAAGCACTTCACAGTACTTATCCTGGACAGTGACCATTCTGCTTGTGGCTACTTGAACAGTGGGGTAGATCTACAGGCACAGTAACTAATATGACGTTCATTCTTCTATATGAATAAGCCATTTGGTGAAACATGTTAGAGTAGGAGGAGCCTGTGTTTGTTTACAGCAGGTCTTAAATTCGGCAATAAACATTGTCCAGCTTGTGATGTCAGTCATTTGTGCGGCAATGTTTCTACGAGAATTAGTATCGAGTTACAGCGTGCTCTTCTTGCCTGCACCGACAAGAGGGATAAGGCAGCGTGACTGCAGGACAAGGAATATGAGCAATGGCTGCTTTGTGAGTTTTGTTCATTCTTCCATTTGTAACCATAGAAGAACAAGAGCATGCCATTACTGATCTGTCAGCCAGAGTTAAAAAGCGACCATGATGATGAGAGAAATGTTGGCATCACTAAAGGGTGGCTTTTGACGGAAACTATGCTGTTGACAATGTACTGCAATAGCCTGGAAGTTTTTCATTATATAAGCAATGATTTCATGCAGAAGTCAGTGAATAATTCTTTGAAGTACATAACTAGTGATGAGCTGAATACGAACTTTCAACATGGGAAAAGTTTGTATTCGAACTTGAACTCAATGCAAGTCTATGGGGTAGAACATTGAAAATCAAATGTCCCCATTTTGAAGCCTTATATGCAATTTATTGGCCATAAAAAGTGTATGGGGATCTGGGTACTGCCCTAGGGGACAGGAATCATTGGAAAAAAAACTTTAAAAAAAAAAATTTTTTATAGGAGCAGTGATTTTAACATTGCTTAAAGGGTAACAATAAAAATTCCTTTAAATATCGTGCCTGGGGGGACCCCTTAGCCTGCCTGTAAAGTGGCACATCTGTACAATGTATAGAACCTGCTGCAGCAAAACTGACATTTCTAAAGAAAAAAAATGCATTTTTGTCTTTTTTTAAAGCGTGCACTTCCCCCTCCCAAACAATAACAGACCCTTTAGGTCTGGTAGGAATGTTAGGAGGGACCCCATTTTATAAAGTCATACCAGGCCCTTAAGGTCTGGTAGGAATTTTAATGGGGGGGGGGGAACGTTAAACATTACTAATTATTCCTTGTGTTTAGAAGCTGCTCACATCTGCCTTTATGAAGTATCTCAAGGTGCCATCCATCAACGTCAGGACAAATCTTCTTGCTAAATACTGCCCGTTATCTCTTCCTCGCTTGAACAGGGTCCCCTCCTTCACTCCTGCAAGGAAACATTTTTGTTGACATCTAGTGGTAGCTTATGAGACTATTTTATGTTGCTAACATTCCACTGCAAGAAATGAGACACAAACCATGATACCGGAAATATACTATCCCTTCATTTAGATGTTCCATACTCCAAAAAAACACTGCATGCTGAGGTGACCCTATGTGTCACAAACCTGGGTGTTTCAAACTGAGTATATAATGAACAAAAATTATATAAGCAGATGACATGCCAGAACAATCAGATGATCAGAAGTGTTCAGCACTGTTAAGATGACCATGGTTGCAACGATCTTCACCCTTTGGAGCCACCATTTGGTAAGATTTAATTGTTTGCTTCATACTCTGGTGCCCCAAGGTTCCTGCATGCTGGGGCATCAAATCGATTGTTAACCACTCAAAGACCAGGGTGTTAAACCCCCTTCCTGGCCAGGCCATTTATCAGTATTCAGCACTGCAGTACTTTGACTGACGTTTATTCAGTCATGCACCTCTGTACTGAAACAAATTTTATACTATTTTTTGGGGAAAGATAGAGCTTTCTTTTGGTGGTATTTAATCACCACTGGGGTTTTTGGCTTTTACTATATACTATATAACAAAAAATTACCCTAAATTGTGGGGGGAAAAACAGTTTCCCTATGAAATGTTATGAAACATTTATTATCACCCCAATTTTTTGGTAAAATATAAAAGATGGGGGTCAAGTCAGGTAAATAGACACCAAACATGTCATGCCTTAAAATTGCATGCGCCTGTGAAATCACAGAAAATGACCACACCCAACATTGGCCTTAGGCGACGCTTTAAAAGCTTTTACCGCATATCAGTTTAGTGTTATCATATGAAATTAATGGTAAAAGCCGAGCTGTAAGAATGAAACCGCAAAAGTGTCAGATATAGTAGATATTGACCTTAAAGTAATGTGATACCATGTGTAAAAAATGAAGAAACGCATGTATATAACATGCACCTTAGTGTAACTGTAATTACTACAAAATATCCATAATAGAAAAATGAAGTGCACTAAATATTAACTGTGAATCAATCTCATACAATGTGCAAAGAAAAACAACTAGAAAAACGCATATGTATAACATGCACTACAGTGAAAATAAAAATAAAAATGGTTAAAAAAAGTCCATGATCCTTAATCTTCAATAGTCCATTAAGTAAATAGAAGATAAAACATTGGATGTAGAATAGACTCAGTCTCCTGTGACCATCAACAGATAAATCTTCTGGAATGCACCTCACCTTTAGCAGAGACCCACCAGGGTCTGTATGTGCTGTTCCTCCAATTCGAACCAGGTAGAGGAAGCACCTGATGCCGAACACCTCCCAGTGATTTCCTCCTCTCAGGTACAGACTCTCATAACAGGTCCTCTTTATGGAGACATCAGGGGTCTCCAAGACCCCTAATGTCACCTAGGGACCCCCAGAGAAGCTGATGAAGCAGAGATCTGTTGCCGGAGAGTGACACTGAATGTGGAAATTATGTCATATACATCACTTCCTGCATTCAGGGACCGGAGAAGAGATCATCTACTGACCTATCTTTGATCTCCTGTGACAGAGGCGGTCCCAGCCGCACTGGAACGGCAGCGGCGGCGGGGGCGCACACGCGCACCTAATACAAGCGATCAGGCGTATCTAGAGACGTCCGATTGCTTGAATGTAAACAGCCCGTTTACAGGCTGTTTACATTTCTGACAGTTTCCCCACTCGTGTGCGCACTGGGCGCCACACACAAGTGGGGGGAGGGGAAGGAAATCTAAAGACACCCTCCACTCCTATAAGGCTCCCGTCCAGTTGTTCAGAAACAGCCAATGGACTGGAGGTGGTTAAAGACAACAGGGCTAGGCAAGGCCAGTCAACACAGGTTAAGGTAAGAACCAGAGAGATCAAGCAGTACCTAATACAGTCAAAGCCAAGCTTATAAAGATGAGTGAGTGAGTGAGTGAGTAGTCAAGGCAAACCAGTGGATTATAAAAGGTCTATTCAACATGCTAAATTTAAACCAACACCCAAAATAACATTGGGTAGGGACACAGCAGCAGCAATGGTCAGGCAGGGGGAGTTTTTGCAAAGTCAGGACATACCAGGCCACTAACAGAGAATCGTTTAGAAATCTGGGATTCCAGACATGACTGACCACAATTGTGTGCTGGAGCACTTATGTATGATGACATGCCTGAGGGGATAAAAAATGTATGTGCAAGCTTGCCATGTCACATGTGAAGTAGCAGGGCAGAGAAGTATAGATGGAGCAGTCAAGGGGGCCTATGATGAATTATCAGGATGAGCAACCTGTGAACAACCATCAGATGAGCCTCCAAGATGAATAGATGAGAGGAAATGTATTTGCATAGATTCAGAACTACATGCAGCTGAATTCATATTCATATCTTGATCTCATATAAAATTTGTATGTGACTACTCCCACCTCCTGAACCTCCCTACTGGTCAATAAGGGGGAAAAAAGGATTTGCATATACCGTGAAGGTGACCTACGCTATTTTCGACAGGCTCATTTTAAAGTGAAAACATGCAGAAAGGCATGGAGCACAAGGAATAAAAGGGAATTGTGCGGAGGGACAGCACGACAGGGGGAAAAGGGGAGACAGGTATACGAGTGGTTAACTTGTGAAGAAAAAAGATTATGGAATGAGGACTGGATTGGAGGATAGTTGGAAAAGGGTGGGACTTCCAAGGGTTGAATCCTGGGTGTGTGCAGGAAGTTCCTAGAAGAAGAATTTTTGGCCAGGAGGTTTTCCCGCCCGCCCCTTTTTTATATTTTTGTTTTTTCAATTTTGTTTTGCATGTCTCCTTTGTTTTTCTGTATAGGTTCCGGTGTTTGGCTCGTCACAGTGGTATTGGCGGTTTGGGGTCCGTGAAGGTGGTAGGGATGCCGTGGTTTATTGAGAACGGTTGGGGACCCATCATAGGTGTGGTGTCCTTTAAGTGGTGGTCAAATAGTTTGGTGTTGCGGCTGGGGGCCCATTAGTAGTCATCTGAAGCTGCAGATACAGGTTTATGGGGCGGAAACCAGTGGTAAACTGTTTAACTTGGTTTATTTTTGTATTTAATTTTGTATTTAAGTTGATATTTAATTAAAGAAAAATGCATGGCTGCTGTGACCTTTGAACTCCATACAAGTCTGGTGTATTTTATTTGAGAAGATTGGGGGGAGCTTAGGAGGGCAGGTCACAGTACGTCAATTGAGGGACTGGTGAAGAAGATTGGGATCCCTCTAAATTAACCTTGTCATGTGCCCAAGCAGGGCAAAGTAACATGTTGACTTTAATCCAGACTTCCGCAGATGCATATACTTATCTAACTTTCACTCCCCTGCCACTCCATTTAGTTCTTAGTTGAGAAGGAAAGTCCCGGGTAAGCTACAAATTACCAGAGTCATAGCTCACACAGGGCAAAGGACTCTTATTGTGAAAGCACTCCGTGGCTCAGTATGTGTAGTATGTAATATGCTCCTCCATATCTGGAAGTACTGGATATTTAATTCATCTCCCAAAACTAAATGGGACAGTGAGGAAGTGAAGGCAAGGTGCACATATGCTGCTGGAAATGGGGGTGGGGGGACCTGTTACTTTGCTCTAAATAAAAGTATTCCTTCTCCATATTTATTTTTTATATTTACTGCATATAGTTTACATCCCCTATTTGCAAACCCAGGCTTTGCTTCTTGACACTAGAGGACTACATTTTACATAATCACTTGCATATCAATTTGCCTTTGTTAAAAATAAAGGCAATTTACTATTAGCAAGCATTAATTTTTCTCAGAGAAAAGAGGGAAGGAGATAGGGACAGTGGATGGACTGCATCTTTTCATCAGGTGATTCTCATGGTAATCAGTTGAGAATTTATATGAGATTCAAGATGGATAGACTTTTGTCCACCCCATTGTTTCAATCTGCCTGTCCACAATTTTATTGTAAATTGCTGTGAAATGTGTTGATGCTATACAACTGAATAACACAGAAAGACGGAAATATACCGTAGGTAAAATAAAATGACCCTATGACATACACAATAGTAATGGCGTTTCTGAAACATATACTCAGATTTTGCTCAAAATATTTTTATTATCACACCAGAGGTAATAGATAGTGTTCTTTGAAACTATATTAAACTTTATTATTTTTAAGTAAAAAACACAAACACACACTCCTTCTTACCATTATGAAGGCCATCTGAACTTTCCTTTTTCGTAAATTCTTTACGTTCATATTTAGCCCGTATCCACTGCTCTCGCAGAACACTGTAAACAAGGAACTCTTGTGAAGATAACATATGAGAACAACATGAAAAAAATGTAGTATGAGCTTACAGAGATGATAACAGGAAAACCAGAGATTACTGGATGCACAGAAAAATCTAGTAAGATAGAAGGATATGATTAAAAAAATAGGAGGCTGGTGATGTTCTGATTGAGAGAAGGTAAGACATTCATAAAGAGACAGGATCAGTCTGCTTACTGGCAGTCTAGATGCGTGGGTCGGTAGAAGTACACAGGAACATATGCCTCATATATTGCTTTAGCTGCATCATTCCCATGCTTTTGTAGAAACTGAAAAAGCAAAACCATGTAAAAAAGCAAAGCAAACAAGGAAACAAAGCCAGAAAACATTTGCATTTTGCTACTTGAACTTATGTGACCTGTACTGAAAGCATTCAAGCTGGCCATACCCAATACTATAGGATTAGGTTGAATTGTTCAGCACCAATTTTGGCTCCAGAGAATTCTATGTGACAGTGCCGTGCTTGCTCAATAAATAGCTGATATACAGAACTGCTAGCACCCACACAGTACGCAGACAAAAGAAACATTCCACAGACTTAAATTTTAACAGCGGAAAAAACAGGATTCACTGTGAGAATATAGCTCAACTGATCACTGTTCTAATAGGTGATGCTCAGGCAAGTGTCATTCATATATCTCAACTCTGAAATATTCCTATGTCCCTCTTTCTGCAAATATCACACATTTAGATATAACCCACACACATGTGTACATAAAGTATACAACAGAAAGTGCTTTGCATTACTATACATTATTTTATTACATTATTCTATTACATTATTATTACATGCATATTGACTTCTAAGGAGAAGAAAAGCAGTTAAGGTGGAAAAAATGCACTCCCTGGTTAAATACCTCAGCCAATTAGTGAATTACTAAAAAAGGTGACGAGGTACATTAAGAACCACTGAGCTGAAGGCCAACCACCCGTGTGCATACTAGCTGCCAGTTAAACGCTGTCCTGGGGACCTGGGCAGCTCTCGTACCATCACTGTGATGTATACTGCCAGATCTACAGCTTTCACAAGCCTTTTGCACTCACAATTGGTGGAAAGCTAGAAATGGGCTGGGGACTGTGACAACTGGGATGTTCTTAGCTTGTGGTTGGCTTTTATTAAAATGCAGTCATAGGTCAAATACAGTATGGGCGTTCCTGGTGGGATTATACAGTACAGTGCAAAAGTTTTAGGCAGGTGTAAAAAAATGCTGTAAAGTAAGAATGCTTTCAGAAATAAAAAGTGTTAAATAGTTTATCTTATCAATTAACAAAATGGAAAGTAAATGAACAGAAGAGAAATCCAAATCAAAACAATATTTGGTGTGACCACCCTTTGCCTTAAAAACAGCATCAATTCTTCTAGGTACACTTGCACACAGTTTTTGAAGGAACTCAGCAAGTAGGTTTTTCCAAACATCTTTGAGAACTAACCAGAGTTCTTCTGTGGATGTCGGCTGCCTTAAAATCCTTCTGTCTCTTCATGTAATCCCAGACCGACGTGATGATGTCGAGATCAGGGCTCTGTGGGGGCCAAACCATCACTTCCAGGACTCCTTGTTCTTCTTTACGCTGAAGAAAGTTCCTAATTACATTGGCTGTATGTTTGGGGTCATTGTCCTGCTGCAGAATAAATTCTGGGCCAATCGCACACCTTCATAATGGTATGGCATGATGGATATAGTCTCGATATAGTGTCCAGCAAAAATCCACATCCAAAGGGATCCCTCTGGATTTGGATTTTTGCTGGACACTATATCGAGACATTTTCAATTGCCTGTGCTTAATTGTGAGTATATTTTAATTAAAAAAATTGTTTTATGTATTCGGAGTGCGCTATGATATGTCCTTTACCTTCTGCATGGATACACAAGGAGCAATAAGAGCAACCATCACTGTGATGTATACTGCCAGATCTACAGCTTTCACAAGCCTTTTGCACTCACAATTGGTGGAAAGCTAGAAATGGGCTGGGGACTGTGACAACTGGGATGTTCTTAGCTTGTGGTTGGCTTTTATTAAAATGCAGTCATAGGTCAAATACAGTATGGGCGTTCCTGGTGGGATTATACAGTACAGTGCAAAAGTTTTAGGCAGGTGTAAAAAAATGCTGTAAAGTAAGAATGCTTTCAGAAATAAAAAGTGTTAAATAGTTTATCTTATCAATTAACAAAATGGAAAGTAAATGAACAGAAGAGAAATCCAAATCAAAACAATATTTGGTGTGACCACCCTTTGCCTTAAAAACAGCATCAATTCTTCTAGGTACACTTGCACACAGTTTTTGAAGGAACTCAGCAAGTAGGTTTTTCCAAACATCTTTGAGAACTAACCAGAGTTCTTCTGTGGATGTCGGCTGCCTTAAAATCCTTCTGTCTCTTCATGTAATCCCAGACCGACGTGATGATGTCGAGATCAGGGCTCTGTGGGGGCCAAACCATCACTTCCAGGACTCCTTGTTCTTCTTTACGCTGAAGAAAGTTCCTAATTACATTGGCTGTATGTTTGGGGTCATTGTCCTGCTGCAGAATAAATTCTGGGCCAATCGCACACCTTCATAATGGTATGGCATGATGGATATAGTCTCGATATAGTGTCCAGCAAAAATCCACATCCAAAGGGATCCCTCTGGATTTGGATTTTTGCTGGACACTATATCGAGACATTTTCAATTGCCTGTGCTTAATTGTGAGTATATTTTAATTAAAAAAATTGTTTTATGTATTCGGAGTGCGCTATGATATGTCCTTTACCTTCTGCATGGATACACAAGGAGCAATAAGAGCTTGATTGGAGCAGCATTTGGCGCTTGGAGGCACAATACTCGCCAGCCGGAGGGCAAAGAGGAACCTGCTGTGGTGAGACCTTGCTTATGAGGTTTGATCAAAAAGGTAGGAGGTATTTTTGGAGGGTGAATTCACATAAGGAGTGGTGAAGGGGATATCTGTTACCATTGTGTTCTTGAGAGCTGTACATATAAAAGATGGTGGAAACTTCTGACTGCTGAACGGCACCGATTAGCACCTTGTTGTTTTGACATGGACTCAAGTGGTTTGCTTTGCAGAGATTGAGGTTTTAAAATTTTTTTGGGACATTCAATAGTGAAAGATTGTAATTGATTTTGTTTTGCACAATGAGAAAGTGTATGATTATTGCTGTTTATCACTATAACTGTTGCACTATTGTAGAGTGTTTAAATGTTTAGGGAATGCGGCACTATTATTCGCAGAGAGTAATTTATTACACATTCTTTGAGTGCTCACAGCAGATAAGAGATTATTGGTACAAGGTGAATTTTATATATATTTTAGTTCAGAGCACCTGCTGCTGTTTTTCTGCACCCCAGTTCCTATGTTTTGTGTATAGTTGAGTCACTTAGCCTTGTTTCTATGTCGCAGGTATGGCTTTTTGGCCGCAATTCTTCCATGAAGACTACAGACTTCGCTAGACAGTAGATGGGTGTACTTAGGTCCCACTGGTTTCCGCCAGTTCGTTGCTGATGGCACTGCTGGACATCTTCCAATGCCGAACGGAAGTAAGCATGTGTGATACTCGTATCGCCCCTCAGCCAGGACGACGAGCCGTACGCGCAACTGCGCAGGCGCATCGCGAGACTCCTCCCACTCACGTACGGGGTCCGTCGGTGGCATTGCGCAGGCGCGCCGCCAGACTCTGCCCACTCACTCGAGTAGTGGGCATAAAGCCGCGGTCCGCCGTTTGATCGGCGTCCCACTATTATTGCAGCAGGATGCTGATCAAACCAACAGCCCTGCTACTCCAGGAACCCACTACGGAAGAAGAAGTTGCTGAGATCCCTCCACACTGTGCAGAGCCTCAAACAGCAAGTATTGCTACCATAGCCATAAGGCTATGGTAGGGAGATCCACAGCACTTCCTAGACTCATACTGAACTGTCTGCTGTACTGCAACCTAACCTATTGCATAGCCATATGCCTAAATCAATTGTCAGCTGTACTGCAACCTAACCTATAGCATAACTATATGCCTACTCAACTGTCTGCTGTACTGCAACTTAACTTATCGCATCGCCATATGCCTAAACCAATTGTCAGCTGTACTGCAACCTAACCTATAGCATAACTATATGCCTACTCAACTGTCTGCTGTACTGCAACCTAACCTATTGCATAGCCATATGCCTACAGAATTGTCTGCTTTACTGCAACTTAACCTATAGCATAACTATATGCCTAACTTACTGTCTGCTGTACTGCGAGATAACCTATCGCATAGCCATATGCCTAATCACCTGCATGCTTGGTAATCAGTTACACTGCATCATAGCTATACGCCTACCTAATCTGTCTGCCTTGCTATACGTGAACATCATATATCTGTGGCCTCAAGCTAGTTGCTAGACTGACCCATAACCTAACCACCTGCTTCGCCCTAAAGACCTACCATACCGGTGAAGCGCAGGCTCATATGTGCTTAACGGGGCGTGATGTGAAGCAGCTCTCTCCAAGCCTTATCAAAATCTTGGGCGTCGGAGGTAGAGCTGCGATCTGATACCCGTTCTAAAGCCAAATCCACAGCTGCGGTCCAAGGACCTTGTTAACCCCTGGGGGGTGTATTACAGCATGATGTGTCATTCATCTGTTGCATTACGTTTCCTTGGCTGATCACTGCATCTATTGTCCTCAACATTGCCAGTTTTTTGTGCTTCTTTAAAAGAGCTTGAACAGCTGCCAGCACGAAAGGATTGTGTCATTTCGAGATGGGTCCACGGAGAGATTTTATGATGCCTGGTCCTATTGGAAACCTTAAACTGACCTTCAAATTCTACTCAATTAATAGCATTGTATTGCATAACCTCTTTACACATGGCTTTCTCCCCCTTTTCTATCCCTACTCTTTCTCTCTGTTTTTTCTCTCTCTTGTTCTGTGTCCTGTTACTCACTTCCTGGGAGTATATACTGTACGTGACGTATTAGAACCTAAGTATTAAGTTTGCCTTTATGCCGCACACTTTGTATGTTCGTGTTGTGTGCTTACCCTGACTGTACTGTACTTTCTGTGTAAAATCTATCTTAATAAAAACTTATTGAACATAAAAAGAGCTTGAACAGCACATCTTCAAACCCCAGTCTGCTTTGAAATCTTTGCATGTGAGATACCTTGCTGATGTAGCATAACTACCTTGTGTTTTGTTGCTGTGCTCATTCTTGCCATGGTGTATGACCTGTGACATGAAACGGTCTTCTACAACCTCACCTTAGTAGCAGAGTTTGGCTGTTCCTCATCCAGTTTT